TTGAAGGAGGCGGACCTGTACCGGGGCGCCCGCCTCGAGGCGGACAAGAACCTGGTGATGGACATTCTGCCGGCGGTGGGGGCGATCAGCTCGGTCAGAAGGCGGCTGGCCACGCTGGACGGCGGTCTGCGCAGTTTTGTCGCAGAGATGGCCAACTTTGGCGGCGGTGGTGGCGGCGGCTACAATCGACAGGTTTGTTTGGTCATCACTATAACTGGTTTGCGTTTTCATTGTTTACCCTTTTCTTCTGTTTAGCCGAGGCTTCCTGAGGATCAAGACGCCGCCGGAAGTAGTGGTTTTATTGAGCCGTCAAGTACACAGCAGTATAATCGCTCCAACCTTCCACTGTCACTTCAACGGCAGTCACCTTTCCTCAAGCTGGGCGACTCTTCTGACGATGACGAGGACGGCGGACAGGGCCTGGTGATTGAGCCGGACTCCGATTGAGAGACATTGTTTTGTTGACGGGAGAGAGTGAGAGCTTGGTGGTGCTAGTCAGGGTGTGGGCTTTGCATGAGACTGATTTTACACTTGCATCTTCTCCCTCTCTTCTATTATTTTTTCTCCTTCTTCTTCGCCCGTTGTGTCAACAAGCAAAGTTGTGGTTGTGGTTTTTATTGCACCATATCTTTTCCGACTGACTGACTGTTGTTTATTTCTGACCCCCGCCTTTGTCTTTTCAAACATTTGCCATTTCAACTCATTCACTGCTGCTGCATCGAATTGTTAAACTACTTGGGACTATTTTTGCTGAACGCTTTTTGCCTCTGTATATAGCTTTTTAAATATTTTTCTACAAATCGTGATAAAGAAAGTCTATCTGTGAAATGTCATTTTTAGTTTTGCCGCTGCTCTGCCTTCTTCAGATGACCTCGCTGTTGATGGGTAAGGGCTTTTTTGCGAAAAAATTGATAATCTTTTAAACTTTCTTTCCCTCTTTTTCACAGCCGTTCCCCCTGAGACCTGTCTGGTGAGCCAGTCCTGCACCTCCTACTGCCAGAGTTTTGGCTACGGCCGTGGCCAGTGTCGAACAAAGGTGCAGCTGGCGCAGCTGAACTCCCCGCTGTCCACGCTGGTCTCCCCTGTGAATCGGTACTGCCAGTGCAGCGGCTGCGACGGCGGCTACTGTCGGCACTACTGCCACCGAGTGGGCCGCAAGTACGCCGGATGCATGTGCTTCAACTTTGCCCAGCGAATCGGCTTCTTAAGCCAGCGGGCCACCGGGGGAGACATTGTCGGTCTGGCCAATGACTGCTCCAATGACGTCCTCTACTGCCAGTGTACCAGATAGAAAATACACAAAAATTGTTGTCAATGGTTTGCTGATATTGCTGCTTTAACTCCCCGTCAGCCGTCAATTAGTCAATAACACACACACTCACACACATTCACCAGTTCTTGATCCAAACAAATCAATCGATCGAAGTGAGTGAGTGAGAGAAGGAGATCGATTGACACTTTTTCGCAGTGGTCTGCCGCTGCTTTTGTTTGGTCTTTTTGGAAAAGCGAAAGCGAAGAAATTGGAATAAAAGAATGGACAGTGGCAGAGGCGGAGAGAAAGAGCGACAGAGCACTTATTCAATTAGTCAGGGACGCAATTGACGAAGAGAAAGAGGGAGAGAGAGTAGGCAATTGGCTGGGAATTGTCCTGTCTGTCTCTGTCTCTGTCTCTCTGCCTTTGGGAGTCTCATGTTCCGGCAACAGACGACACTTTGGTTTTGGCGCCAGTTTGTGGGTTGTGCTTTTTCTTCTACTTCTGATTCGGTTGGCTGTGCTGTTGAACAGCGCAAATGCCGAAAGAATGGCGAAGCTGATGGCTCCAGAATTCTTTGCTGCCAGTTGATCGCTGCTTTTAGTTTGAAGAGGTCGTAGTTTTATTCAAGTCTTTTTGTTATATTTTGTTTGCTTTGGATTGCTTGTTTGCTTAATCTCTTGTTTCAACTGGTCCACTTGTTTTTCTTCAATTTCTTGAACTACTGCTCAATTTTTTCAGCTTCAAAGCTGCGTTTAGGAAATGTGATGAATCAAGTAAGTGGCAGGTGAAATCGATACTTTGAATTTTCGTTCCATTAGTTTAATTAATGAGATATGTTGAAACTTTCGTTTTAAAAACTGTATTTTTTACAGATACTGCCTCGACTCTTCATTGGCGGCCTTCGAGATGCCCGAGACACTGAACAGATGAAAGCCAATGACATTAGATATGTGCTGTCAGTTCACGAAACGGCGAGGAATGGCAATCTTCAGGTAAGCTTTTTTCAGCATTCAATTTTTGAAAACTAATTCGCTTGGTTGTAAATTGTACACACATTTTATGACAAAAATCATAAATTTTTTTGTTGAGCAATTAAATTTATTTTTAGATTAGCAGAAAATTAGGTGCACACACTTCTGTCACTGCTCGTCTAATTAAGTTTAATTATAAAGACTCCGGAAAAAACTGACCAGCAGAAAAATTCTGGTTTGCAGAATTTGCATGAACCATTTGTCTGTGAGTGTTGTTTTAAAAGCACTTCAAAATTGAATTAGCCCTCTACCTATGTTCAGGTACTAGTAATAGTATTTAATTACTTCCCCTAATTAGAGCGGTAGTGGTATTTCGGGTTCTGGTCACCCACACTGGCTCCTTTTATACGGGTTTCAGCTGGTGATTGATAGCTGACCTATCTGGTGACAGCCCAACACTACATTTGCACACACACACATGGTAACTCTATTGTGCACGCAAGCACTCTTGCTTTAATAAAAGTAGAAAAAGCAGTCATTATAATCTTGGCGTGATGAAAATTATAATTAAGGTCTCCCCGTGGAATGCTCTTGTGTGTGCTTGCTAGTGTGCCTTAGTGCTTGGCAAACAATGTGGCCGCTTCAAATGATCGGATTTGGTCACCGATCTGCGTGCAGTCAGTGCTGTTTTAGTGCCGTACAATGAGTTTTGCTGCTGATGGTCAGATCGATCAGAGGGGGCACAAAGTGAGAAAGAAAGAAAGAGAAGCGAAAGTGCCATTTGCTGTCAGTCAATCAGTACTTTCTCCCTCTCATTCTTTTATTCCCTTTTAGCCCAACTCTATGTCATTTCGATTCAGTGCGACACTGAACACTGAACACACCCTTTAATTGCATTGCCATGTAGTGGCAAGCTCTTTTACCCGTTTTCTTTGTCTGCTTATCTTTCTTGTTTTTTCCCCGCTGTTCTGATCGTAAGAATCATTCACTGTTTCACGGTTCAGGCGTGTTTGATCAAAAGAGAGAGAGAGGTTCGCTGTCAAATTACTGTCCGGTTTGATTTGTGGCCATTTGATGGTTTTTGTTCGGTACACTGTCGTGACTGAAGGTCTGACTATTAGATTTGGTTTGTCTGTTTGTGTTCTACTGACGAGTTCGATTCCCTTTCTTTTTCCAATCCCAAACTTTGTAGGGTGTGCAGTATCTGTGCATTCAGGCGGCCGACTCGCCGACGCAGAATCTGTCGCAGTTCTTCTCCGCGTCCAATGACTTTATCCACCGGTGTCGATGTCAAAGGGAAGAGGGAGGTGGTGGTGGTGGCTCGGTCTTGATTCACTGCCTTGCCGGAGTTTCCCGTTCAGTGACCCTTCTGGTGGCCTACCTCATGTCAGTTTTTAGTTAATTTTAAACTCTGTCTAACCGTTTGCGTCATTTCCCCTCAGCTCCATCACCAGCCTCACAGTGAAGCAGGCCCTGGAGGCAGTCCGTCATGTGCGGGCCATCGCCGAGCCGAATCCCGGTTTCCACCGACAGTTGACCGACTTTGAGGGTGTCCGACTGAGGGCAGAACAGCGCAGGCTGGCGGTCCGTTTTCCCGAGCTGACGTTGCCCAGTAAAGCAGATGAAGAGGAGGTATTTTTGATGTGTGTGTGCTTGCTTTCTTTGTTTACCAATTTATTTCTCCTGCCAGCTTCGACATCTTCTGAGCAGCAGTCAACCGAACCAGTATCGAAAAAGAACTACCACAATTGAACTTCAGGCAGTGATGCCAAAGAGCAGTCCTGCCACCAGCAAATCTATTCGCTTTGTTTTCCCCTGCTCAAAGGAGTGCTGAACTGGGACAACACTCAAACACTCAATAAACTTCCACGCACAATTGACGTTTTTGCTGTTTTGTTTAATTGGTATATTTCAGGTCCGATTTTCACACAAGAGTCCTCTACAGAGTAGTACTGTGTAGAAGTGTAAGAGTAAAACAAAATTGTTAGCACCATTTGCCAGAGGGCAGTAACAGTTTGTACAGAGTGGGGATTATAGTTAGAAGAGAGTGAAAAGGAGAAATTGGAAAAATGGTCGTTATCGCCTAGCCTAGTAAAGTGTTGAAGGGAATTCACTATGCAAGCTACTTTCAAAGGAGAGGGTGGGTGTGGGTCTTATGGTACAGTTATGTGTACAGAAGTTTGTTTGTTGCGGAAATGTGGCAAAAGAAAGAGAACACAGTCGGTACTATCGCATCTTGTACTCAAACTCCTTCTTCATCGACGACAGCTTGCCCTTGTAGTCGATGCTGATTTTGATGTCGAGATCACGCTGTAAGGAAAAGTTGTTTGTAAGAAGATTGAAGCACAAGAACTGGTTTTAAAACCTACCTTGTTCTTTGAATTGGGAGCCATAGCGAACCGGCCGCACACCTGTTCACTGCGGTTCACAGTCAGGTAGTCGTCAATGTAGAAGATGGTCTGCTTCCAGTGAGTGTAACGGTGCTCAGGAGCTGATAAAAAAAATAATAGTTAGCAACCGAAAAATGACAACAATCGCAATGTACAACTTACAAGTCGAAAAACCAATCACTTTGTGAGATTTGCTGAACTCAATAGTGAAGAAGGCCACCAGGGCGTGAATGTAGTCGTCGCGCTTGCAGAGCAGGGTAAACTCCGAGTCGAAACTGAGGTCCTCCTCCTTGACGGTGTAGAGGTCAACTTCCTTGACCATGCAGTAGTTGGTGGCAATCTGCTTGGCGTCCACGTTGTCCACCAGGGGCTCGGTGATGGCCAGCTTGCCGATGCAGCTCATGTCAAAGCCGTACACATTGTCCCACCCTAAAAACGGATAAACAATGAGATGAGTATGTTAATCAAATGTGCTGATTTTTAACTGGCTGTCACCCCCATCCGCACTTACAGTTGATCTTGTCTTCCTTGTACTGGCGATCTTCAATGGCAGTCAAGTACAGCGTAGCCTTGTCTGGAAAGATCATGCCGTTGGGAGCCTGTGGTGATTGAAGATGTAAAGTGGCATTAATTAACTGACTCTCCCCGTTGGCGAGTTAACTCATTGTTTACCAGCCACTTGTCGCGCGCAAAGATGACAGTGTTCAGCATCGACTCGTAGAAGAGACAGTAGCCCATCCACTCCGAGATGATGATGTCGACCTTGGCGTACTCTGCCGGCAGCTCAATTTCCTCTACCTTGCCGCGAACCAGTGTGATTTCTACATAATTTGAAGAAAGGAAAAGATCAGAAATGAACACACAGTCCAAGAGCAAAGGACACTTACTCTCAGCCAAGTTGTTGGCCTCAACCACCTGCTTCGCCAGATCGATGATGCCGCTGCACTCGACCTAGAAGAAAGAATCAGGTTAAAGCAATCTTTAAAAAAATTCAAAACAACAAAAACTTACACCAATGACGTGCTTCGCGCCGGCCTGCGCGGCGAACATGCAGAGGATGCCGGTGCCGCAGCCCACGTCGAGGACCACCTTGTCCTTGAAGATGTGCCGATTGAGGAGGATGGCGTTCTTGTAGGAGCCAGTGCGCACCTCATCCTTCAGCATCTCCTCGTGAATGCCGTGGTGGGCGTACGAGTCAAAGTAGTAGTCCTTCGAGGTCATGTTGGTCGAGTTGACGTCGGCACAGGGGACCAGCTCCTTGCTGCCGCAGTTCGAGCAGGCCATCTTCACCGCTACGGGTTCATCGCCAACGCCTAAAAGGGCGCGCGCATTAGAAATGGAACCAAAACATAAACAGACGCTGGCGGCGGCGGTGTCAGTGGCCAGGAGAAGCAGGGTACACTTACCATTTAAAACCTTTCCTTCGGACATGGCTGATGAGGGTGATGTGATTGGGGATTGGGAGTGGATGGTAGTGGTGACTATTGTCCGGGAATCTTACGTTCAGCAAAGAAAAAAAAACCGGCAAAAGCAGCGCCGCTGAGAAGAATACTGAAGTGAGAGTGAGGGAAAGGGAGAGAGAGACTGAAGGCAGACTCACGTGGTTTTTGTGCACAAAAGAAAGCAGCGCTGCTGCAGAAAAAAATTGAGAATATCATCGAACTGCCCTAAGATGTCGTTACCGGTGCTGTTTTGGCTTGAAAACAAAAATATTCAAGCGTCTGCACTCGGGTTTGACAGAAAGCGAGAATTCAGCATCACCGGTTACTTCAAGTCAACCTCAGTTCTTCTTCTCCTACTTCAGATCATTACCACTGTCTTCCTTGTTGGCGTGTGAAGTACCGCTTGAAGATCATCTTATCGGTAAGTGCCACCGTTCCACCCATACCACTCCTCAGTGTGAACTTCTTTCTCCCAATTTTCTCTTTGCCTGGTGTTTTTGTGGCTGTTCTTGTTTTAAATGGTCAATTTGTCACTGTCAATTGGCGATCTACTTTTATTCGGCCTTCTCTTCGCTTGATCTTGTTGCGTAAGTTTGATGGCTTGTGTTTACTTTTTGCAACTCATGTTCTCCATCAACTTTAGCCTGTACTTTCACTGTCGGCAGAAAAAACTGGCCTAAAATATTGTCGAGCGCTTTGAGATTGACCATCAATTATCCTCTCCATCGTCGTCGGTAGTGCCTGCAAAGAGAAGTGCCTGCTCCTTTCTCTGTGCATCTTGCACTCTTTGCGCCCACGCGCGTCAATTGACGACTACGTGTTTGTCAATTTCATTTGCTTGTTTTCATTTGCCTGTTGCTCACCACCTGAGCATGTTAGTGAAAAGTGCACCTCAACCTGTCAAATGGTTACTCAAATCAATTGGTCTGCACAGGGGTTAATTATTGCACATGGAAGCTGACTAAGATGAAGATGAAGAGAAAGTGTGCGCAGGCAGGAAGCTCTCCTACACCTCCACTTGATTTCTTTTTTTATTGCCGTCTTTTATTACTGCTGATGCTGTACGGCAGCGGCAGTGTACGCAACTGATCGGCAAGCGAGCCTTTGGTCATTTATGGCAATGTTGGTGGTGGTGATGGTGGTGGCACCTCCGCTCCTTCAGGTGATTCAGCTGCTGCTGTTGTGGTGGTGGCAGATGCAGCTGAAGTGAGCGATGGTGATTTCTCAAAGTCATTGCAACAGTCTCGAGTGTGCCATGTGAATGTGAGTAGTGGAGATGGCGCCTTCACTTGACAGACGGTGAACCTCTACTTACTTCTTTCTCATTCTGGCGCCACACGTGTCTTGGATCGCTCGACTTTTCAGCCTGACATTTGCTCTGTTTCCATTTCCACTTCACTCTCCTCACATCTCGACTTCCACCATGAATCCCCCTCTTCTCGCCGTTTTCACCCTTATAGTCCTGTCGTCCCTGTCCGCTGTGGTCACCGGTCTGGACACCATCTTCGCGAAGGGCGGCACGTGCATGTACAAGATTCGCAAGCCCTACGACGCCTGCATGGAGAGCCAGAAGGCACGCCTCATTCGCGACCGCGACGCCCTCGAGCCGATCTACACGCACGCGGCGATGATCGCCAGCACGAATCGCATCTCCTGCTGTGCCTTCTGGAGCTTCCTCGACTGCGTCTACGAGGCGGCGGAGGAGCACTGTCCGGGCGACCGGCGCGACATGGAGGCCTACGTGGCGCAGCTCGGCTCGGCAGTGCCCGTTCAGGACTGCATTGAGCAATTTCCCCGGGACAGTCCAATGTGCGAGGGGCTGGGAAGGGGCGGCGCCGGTGGTGGAGGTCATTTTCTTAGCTCCACTTTGGTCCTCGTGACGGCACTGTTTGGCGCACTAGTCAGCCTGCGACCACATCTGCAGCTGTTTTTGTTGGTGTAACACACCGTGTGCTAATCGTTATCGCCTTCAACCACTGTCCGACAATTAGGAAATTGTAATATGAGTGTGTGTGTGTGTGTGCTTTGTCAGTGCCAAATTGGTGCGCAGCAAAGCTTCTTCTACTTCTTCTTTGCTACTAGTCTTCCTTTGCTTTTCTTTTGCTCCAGTAATGTTCGTTTCTTTTTCTCTTTCTCTCTTTTCTTTCTGGGTGGCCATTTCACCAGCATCAGCAGCGGCGATTTGGTCAGCAGTGCCACCAGCGTCACCACCGGATGCATCCATTTAATTATCGTCAATTGCACTAAATCACAGTGCCAAGGATGCGGCTGCTGCTGCTGCAGATGCTTGTTAGAGCATCGTGTGTGATGACGAATCGCCGCTGCCAGTCGCTGCTCAAACTGCTGCCGCTGCGGCTCACTTTCACTGTTTGAATGTTTCACTTTTTGCTTTGTGAGTGAGGAGTGTACCTTCTTCATCTTCGGGTACTTCATTTTCATTTGTCACCTCGATGTCGCCACTGTAAAATAAAAATTCAGTGAAAAAGCAGCATCGTTTGCGCTTGTTTGTTTTTATTTTTCATCCGTCGTCCAAGTCACTTGACGTTGTGCTTGCTTGGTTTTCTTCATCCTTTGGACTTTTTCGTTATTCCCTTTTTTACATTTACCTTTTTATCGTCACCACAATGTCTTTTCTGCCCGTGTCATCTCTGCTGAGAGTCCTCCTGCGAAGGAGTTCAGACCACTACTTTGCACGCTTTTCCACAGTGGCCATCAGCCTCAGCAGCTTCGCCGTCCTCTTTCTCAGCCTCCTCTTTGCCCTTTCGCCTCTGTTGCCGGTGGCCTCGCCGATGCACGCCGTCTCTGAACGGGCCTGCCTCGAACGCATCTGGCCCGACTTTCAGCGGTGTCGTGAGAAGCAGCGAGAGCACTTTCGCTACGGTCACTTCTCCTTTGGCTTGTCCTCCTTCTCGACGGACGTCTACCAGCCAAAGTACCGCACCGAGTGCTGCTCCTACTGGGAGCTGATTGAGTGCGTCCACAAGGCCTCGGAGGCGTACTGCACCAATGAGGTGGACCTGAAGAAGCTGCACTCATTCCTCGAGATGGTCGGCGTCAGTGTCCCGCTGTACGTCTGCGCTGATGAGGTGGGTTTGGTTGGGGTTGGAGTTTAGGGATTTTGTTAATTTTTGACCGTTGTTTTCCAGTACCCTAAGGGCAGCTGGAGGTGTCGCATTCCCATCTGGCTGTGGCTGGTCATCTTCCTCGCCATCTTCTGCCTCCTGGTCCTCCTCGTCCTCGTCTACGTCTGCATTCGAAAGTCAAAGTAGTGTTTGAATTGAATTTGATTGTTTTCCCAATCCCTTCTTTCAATTTCTATCACATGGGCAGCTCTCCCACTGCCACCACCACCTTTATCTAATCGGCTCTTTCACTCTTGTTTTAGTTCTGTGTGTTGTGTTTGTGATGTCTTGATGGCACCACCGCACTGTTTGACTGCTGTATTGCTTCTGCTGCTGCTGATGTTTTTGGCTTTTTTGATGATTGAATAAACTAGTGACTTTATATTTTAGGCTGCAAAACTTTACCTCGTTTTTGTTTCTTTTGACCACTTTCTTTTCCCTCACTTTTACCAGTTAAAGACAAGACCCCAAAACTGCAAGATGCCACCTCCATCCGAACTGAAGTCAGTCTTCAACTACCTCGATTCCCATGAAGAGGAGTTTGTCAGTCGACTGGGAGAAGCGGTCGCTATACCGAGCGTCTCACAGGAGAAGGCCTTCCGCCCGCAGACGGTCGCCATTGTGGAGCACTTTAAGGCGCTGATGGAGCAGCAGCTGAGCAGCAGTTTCAGCTGCCGACTGCACGACCTGGGCACGGAGGACTTTCCCGACGGCTCAAAGGTGGGCCTGCCGCCGGTGTTGTTGGGAGAGTTAAAAGCGGGTGAATCATCTGAGCCGAAGAAGACGGTGTGCATCTACGGTCATCTGGACGTGCAACCGGCCCTTCTCTCTGACGGATGGAGCACCGAGCCCTTCAAGCTGACCGAGGTGGACGGTAAACTTTTTGGTCGAGGCTCCACCGATGACAAGGGTCCAGTACTTGCCTGGATCAACTGTCTGCAGGCTTTTGCCAAGACGGAGACGCCGCTCCCTGTGAACCTCAAAGTATGGCGTTGTGGTCAAGTGCTGATGATTCTATTGAGAAGATCTAACTATTCTTCTGTTTTCATCCACTTCAGTTCATCTTTGAAGCGATGGAAGAGGCCGGTTCGACTGGCCTCCACGAGCTGGTCGGCTCGCTGAAAGACACCTTCCTGAAGGACGTCGACTACTTTGTCATCAGCGACAGCTACTGGCTGAGCACCACCAAGCCCTGTCTGACGTACGGTCTTCGCGGCAATGCCTACTTCTACGTCGAGGTGGAGTGCGCCAAGAAGGACCTTCATTCAGGTCGGATTTGTTTGTTTGTCAAGAACAAAAAGTTCAAGTCCTTAACCTTAACGGGTTTTAAATCCCACAGGAGTCTATGGAGGCGCCGTGCACGAGGCGATGGTCGACCTGGTGGCGCTGCTCGCCACCCTCACCGACGCCACCGGCCAGCACATTCTCGTGCCCGGACTGATGGACACTGTCCGCCCCTTCACCACCGAAGAGCGACACACCCTCGAGTCGCTGGACTTTGACGAGGCGGCCTTCTGCAAGGAGGTGGGCACCTCTCGGCTCCGCTTTGCCGACAAGGTCAACCTGCTGGCGCACCGATGGCGCTACCCGGCCCTCTCCATCCACGGCATTCAGGGCGCCTTCCACGGCTCGGGCGCAAAGACGGTCATTCCGCAGAAGGTGGTGGCCAAGTTCTCAATTCGATTGGTTCCCGACCAGGAGCCAGAGGAGGTGACCGGGAAGGTGGTGAAGTACCTGGAGGAGCAGTTTAGCCGGCTCAACTCGCCCAATCGCCTGAGGGTGCACCGGCAGAAGGGCAGTCGGCCGTGGGTGGTCGATCCGGCCACTGATGGCAACTTTCAGGCGGCGAAGAACGCCATCAAGGATGGTTGGTTGAAGTTTGCTTTTTTAGAAGACTTTAGATTTTTAAAGACCTGTTTTTCCTTTTTTTCAGTGTACGGCGTCGAGCCTGATCTGATTCGCGAGGGCGGCTCCATCCCCGTGACGCTGACCTTTCAGGAGGTGACCGGGAAGAGCGTCCTCCTCCTGCCCATTGGCGCCGCCGATGATGGTGCCCACTCGCAGAATGAGAAGATTGACCGCAAGAACTACCTCAACGGAGGGAAGCTTTTTGCCGCCTATCTGCACTACATCTCCAAGCTGTAGAAAATTGGAAGCGGCGATGATGTAAGATGATGATGTTGATTGAACTCTGGTGCAGCTAATGAGCATGTCTGTTGGTTAATTAAAATGAAGAGTGATTTCTCTTTTTAAGAATGTGAGGGGAAAAAGCTATCTTTTTATTATTATTTACACCTAACACAAAAGTGAAATTGGGTATAATTTTTCAACGACTTTTAGCTATTTCACTGAACAGCAGAACACATCGTAGGTGTAGAGGTGTGTTTTTGGAGTTGGGTAAATTAGTTTTCTGAAGATGACGTGCAAGTGCTTGCTTTTGAGGAGCCCTGAAAAAATGAAAAAAAGTTGAAATTGGAGTTCAGCTGAGAACTTGAACGAATAATCTTACCGAGTATTTGTTGCAGATTAGCTGCACAAAGTCCCCGTAGAGGGCCTTGTCCTGGTTGGACTGAGTGTAGGTGTCGTCGAGGATCACGGTCGGCACGAAAGTCACCTTTGGTCGGACGGCCTTGGTCTTCTTTCCAGCGGCCTTCAGCAGCTCCTTTCCCTTGGCGCCACCGGCGCACTCCTCCAGCATCGACCAGTCAAGGCTCTTCTGTTGGGCGCACTGTGTTTTGTGGTGGTAACGAAAATGAGGGAATTAGATATCGAATCAATGAGAAGGTGTCATGATAAACTCGGATGAACATTGCTCTTGTTGTGTCTACTGTTGTGCCATTATTATCACTGCCGACGTGACGTTGATCTGCTTTGCCGCAGACATGATCATGCCCGCCCCGTGCTTTTATGTCATTTGTGTGCTCTATTTGTCTGTCTGACGCCTGTTTTGATTAACTTTTTGACGCAAGTTTATTTTTTTTCTCGTTCTTTCAAATAGAAGTCGAACCCTGCAGTAAAAACATGTCTGGCAGCACCACCTACAAGAAGCTCGTCATCACTCAATTTAGCAATGACATTCGCAAGGCTGGGGCCGTCGTGGAGGAATCCCTGCGACCGCCCGCTGCCGGGGAGATTCTGGTGAAGAACCACTACTCGGGCGTCAATGCCACTGATATGAACATCATCATGGGACGGTCGGCTTTGGCCATTGGTGGCGGTGGATTGCCCTTGAATATTGGACTGGAGGTAAGGGAGAGGGTGATTCTCATTAATTTTTGACTAACATTTTTTATCAACTACCTTTTAGGGACTGGGGGTGATTGAGGCCATCGGCGAAGGAGTTGACCAAAAAAAGTTCACTATCGGCCAGCCAGGACTGGTGCTGGCCAAGACGCCCAAAGCGTACGCCGAGTACATTGTAAAAACACAAGGGATTTTGTTTTTCAATTTCTAAAAAGTTTTCTCTGCTTTTTTGTTTAGTACGCCAAAGCGGATGAGTTCTACCCGGTGCCTGAGCTGAAGCCGCAGTACCTGGCACTGCTCGATTGCGGACTGACGGCCACCATCGGTCTGGATAAGGTCAGTTTTTTTCTATCCTTTATCTGATCTGATACGACCATATCGCCATCACCTTTTTTGCTCTTAATTACTAGTCTGCCAATATCAAGTCCGGTGAAGTGGTGCTGATCACCGCCGCCGCCGGTGGCACAGGTTTGTCCACTCGTCATTAGTTGCCACTGTAACTAACCGACTGCCAAACACTCTTTTACCTCTCCTACTTCTTCCCTTCTTCCCTTCCCCCCTCTTTGAACCCTTCACTAAACAACAACAACAACAACAACAACAACCACCACAACTGAAAAAGGTCACATCGGCGTTCAGTGGGCAAAGCGGAAGGGGTGCCAGGTGATTGGCCTCTGCTCGACGCCGGCAAAGGCCGCCTTTCTACGCTCCATTGGCTGTGACCGGGTGATCAACTACCGCGAGGAAGTCCTGGACACTGTTCTCACCGAGGAGTACCCGGTAAGACACGGGTGACACGGGTGGATGGCTTCAGAGGGTGCATTCATTCAATCATTCTCATTCTCTTTCTCTTTACTCATCTCAGAACGGAATCGACGTCATCTGGGAGACAATAGGCGGCGCCGTCTTTGAGACCCTTTTCAGCCACCTGGCACTGGGCGGCCGTCTGGTGATTGTGGGCGCCATCAGTGGCTACAAAACAGTCGGGTTTCCGCCCATTCAGATTGACAACTTGGCCACCAAGGTAAGTGCTGTTGCTGTCCCCTTATTTGTCTTGGTTATCAGCCTTTGTGCTACAACTATACACTCAACCCCTGAACTTCCCATCTGACTAGCTAATGAACAAGTGTGCCTCGCTGATTGGCTTTCGCTTTCGCCACTTTGAGCGCCATTTTGCGGAGTACCTCGGCGAGCTGGTGGAGCTCTACCGAACTGGGCAGTTGACCGTTCAGATTGACATTGGCGGTGGTGATGTACCCTTTTCCGGCGTGGCCGCCGTTGTCGACGCCGTTGAGGTGAGGATGGAGTGTGCAAACAGTACTGATCCTAACACTATCTTCTCCCTAACTCTGGCAGCATCAACAGTCGGGAAAGAACACCGGCAAGGTGGTGGTGCACATTCAACAGTAGTAGTAAGTGGACAGGGAATTGCAATTGCTACTGATTTGCCTAAATAAACACAACTGATCAACTCACCTTTTTGGCGATCAGGTCGATGTTGGGCCTCGATTTGCCGTACAGCTCGTACTCCATGCAGTCGATGAAAGGCAGCACCTGACTGATGTTGCGGTACTCCTCCAGGGCACAGGCGTGCAGCATGTTACCGCGGCACTCCTTCGGCCCGTGTTGACAGTAAAAGTCAGTCGATCCGTTGTACTCGTAGATCTAGTTCATTTTGGTTGGAAGAAGTTAGTTCGTTGTGGTTATTTGTTTTTCATTTGTCGATCAGTTCATTTCACTGCACTTCTCCGCTTACCTCTGCCTTGCCGAAGGGAACCAGGTTGAGTTGAATCATAGAGGAGATGGCCTCATAGTTGGGAATCAGCTTGCGAATGAGAAAGCCAATGCTGTCCGGACAGAGGGTCTCGTAGTAGACGTCCACTTTGACCTTGCTGCCTGATTCCGAACTGGTGGCTGAAGTGGCTTGAAGAACNTTCGTAGATCTAGTCCATTTTGGTTGGAAGAAGTTAGTTCGTTGTGGTTATTTGTTTTTCATTTGTCGAATCAGTTCATTTCACTGCACTTCTCCGCTTACCTCTGCCTTGCCGAAGGGAACCAGGTTGAGTTGAATCATAGAGGAGATGGCCTCATAGTTGGGAATCAGCTTGCGAATGAGAAAGCCAATGCTGTCCGGACAGAGGGTCTCGTAGTAGACGTCCACTTTGACCTTGCTGCCTGATTCCGAACTGGTGGCTGAAGTGGCTTGAAGAACCAGGAACAGACCTAGCAGGGCAAAGCAGACGGTGGAGGATGTTGACTTCATCGTAATTTTACTTGACTAAAGTTGTTTTTGATGATGATTTTGACTGTGTTTTGCTGCTGCTGATGACTGTGTTGTGTCGAGTTGGCTTGCAGT